CTCAAACAACAATTTCTGTAACTCCAGAGGAACCTCAAACAACAATTTCTGTAACTCCAGAGGAACCTCAAACAACAATTTCTGTAACTCCAGAGGAACCTTCTGTAACTTCTACAAGCATAATTCTTGAAGAATCAAGTGCAAGTGAAGAAAGTGCTGGTATCAGTAAAACAACAGAAGCTGCAGTAAGTGAAAGTACAACAATACCAGTATTAATTTCTGAAGCGTCAACACAGTCATCTATTACATCTGGAGAAGAACATATGGAACATACAGTTTCTATCGAAAAAGAAATCACAACCGAATCTGCATCTTTGGGAGAACAGACCACACAGTCATTAATAACAAAAGAAAAACCAAGCCAAGAAGAAAGTAAAACGGAAAGTGTGCCTTCTGAAGTAGCCACGGAAGAAGCTACAACTCTTAAAATACCAATTATTGAAGAGCAACCGCAAAAGCCTGAGGAAACTGAGGAACCTGAGGGAGAAACATCTACAGAAACGACTGCGGAAACACCTATTCATACCGAAAAAGACACATCTGTTTCAGAAGAAATGCCTGAGATAAAACTTACTACTGAAATACCAATAAAAGAATTACCTCAGTCAACTGAATATCCAACAAGCATTCCTGAAGGAACTTCCACAGAAAAAGAAAGTATACCAGAAATTACATCTCGTCCTTCAGGTATTCCTGGAGAAGGTAATTGTCTTGTTGAAGGACAATCTTACAATAATAATTCGGCTGTTCCACCGGCGAACAAGTGTCAAGTCAGTTGCCGTTGTATCAGTAGTATCGTACAATGTGAGCTTGTGCAATGTCCTGCACCACCACCACAAATGTCAAATTGCACGCCAGTTCCCAGTGAAGAGGCATGCTGTCCAATCTATGCTTGTGATTCGACATCACCTACAACTCATTTAGAATCCGGTAGTCATGTTGTAGAACCTCAACCTAAACCCGAAGAAACAGAACAGAAGACTGTTTCGCCAGCAGAAGTAACAACGGAAGTACCTATCACAGAAGTTACTGAAGCAGTGAAAGAATCTAGTACAATAGCTGGTGAAATTAGTACGTCGGAAGCATCTCTTGCAGAAGTTACTGTTTCTTCTGTTTCTCCGTCAAAAGAAGAGATAGAACCGACAGCAACAGAGAAACAGCAGACTACTCTGAAGTCTGTCGAACCAGTTTATGAACATCCAACTACAATTGGACCATTTGTTGAGCAACCTGAAAAAGACACTATTCGTCCTATGAAAACATCACAGGAATCTGCTAGTCAAGCGCCCAAAGAAGAAGAAAGTATAACAGAATCGACAGTTTCAACCGAGCAACCGCAAGAAGAAAAGCAGATTCCTACTAGTAGTGAAGAGCAACAAATGATCACTTCAACATATGTTCCTGTGGAGCAGAAACTTCAAGGTGCTGAAGAAGAAGCTTCAACTATTACTTATAAAGAAGAAGAAGTTACAGTTCCCACTGTAACAGAAACAAAAGAAACGTCTACACCTGCTGAAATAGAAAAAGCTACGACTATTGCAACAGCTAAAGAAGAGGAAGCCACTACACTAATTAAAGAACAAGAGAAACCCATCGAGGAAGAAGGTACTGAAAAGGACATTACAATTAAGCCGACTAAAGAAACTGAAATAAAACAACCAGAGGAGGAAAATGTGCAACCAACCTCCGAAGCACCTGTTACTGAAGAACACGAAATATCTACGGGAGAAGTAACTGTTACGACAGAGAAACTATCGACCAAACCGGAAATTTTGGAAGAAGAAAAAACTATCGTGCCACTTGAACATGAAAGTACTCCTGTTTCTGAAATTCAACCGACAACTGAATATAAACTCGAAGAAGCTGGAGTCACGTCAACTGAAAGTGAACATGCTGTTCAGACTGAGAAATCAGAAACTGAAACAAAACTGCCTACTGAAAGTGCTCCAGGCGAAATAAAACCACAAGAACCACAAGAACCACTTATACCTGGTGCCGAATCGACGACTTTACATGATCATACAGTAACTAAGGAACATACAACTATAAAATCAGTAGAGGAAAGTACAGAAATAACAAAATCAGAAAGTTCAACTTCTGAAGCTTCTGTAACTGAAGAAGAACACGTCTCTATTTTGACAACAGAACCAGAAACATCTAGTGAAGAAACATCCAAACAGGAATTAGAAAAACCTGACGAGAAAACGTCTAAACCAGGTGAAGAATTTACTCCTGAAGTTTCTTATAAAGAAACAACGCCAGAAATAGTTAAACCAACAGAAAGTACAGCAAAAATAGGAAGTACAGAATATACTGAAGAGCATACAGAACCATCAATTACAGAACACAAAGAAGAACCGTCTGTTACAGAAGTGTCAGAAGAAAAGCCATCTGAAGCTGAATCTCCAATTACTACAGAGCAACCAGTAAAACCTACTGAAAGTGAAGAAACGTCTGAACCAGAACACGAGAAACCTACTGAACCTAGCGTTGCTCACGAATCGGGAAGTACACAAGTTTCGGGAGAAGAATATTCAGAGTATCCAGAAGTTATATCCGAATCTCATATTCCTGTTGAAGCAGAAACTGAATCATCAACTCCTAGTGAAGGTGAGATAACGGAAAGTAGTGTAACAATAGAAAAAGCTACCCCAGAAAGCGTACCTAGTCAGGAGGAACAAGTGACACAGAAATCTGAAGAAGAAAGCGCTAAACCAGAAACGGAATTGCCTGGTATAATTGAAGAGCAAACTATTGCTCCCGAAATTCCAAAAGAGGAAGAAAAGAAACCTGAAGTTGGAATAACAGAAGAACCAGAACAATCGGTAACAGCTTCCGAAGTTACAGAATCAGAAAAACAAGAAACAACAAGAGAAACTATTGAAGAAGTTATAACATCTACAACGGAGAAACATCCTGTTGAGGAACATACTAAACCAGAAGAAATACCGTCTGAAGGCGAACCAAGTGAAAAAGTTTCAACAGAACCAGAAACAACAACTGCTTTAGAAGAACAGAAACCTGAGGAGGAAGAACAAACTAGCAAATCTGACTTACCGGAACATACAGTGAGCGTACAAACAACAACCGTAGCAAATCTGCCACCTGAAGAACATTCAGTAGAGACAGAGAAAGACATGCATGAGCCTGAATATCAAACAACATTATCTACTACAGAAGTATCAAAACCAGAGATCGGCGAAAAACTTTCGCCTGAAGAGGAACCTGTTACAATTGAAGGTGCAACAGAGAAACCTGAGGAAAATGTCACAAAAGTTTCTGTTGAAATGAGTTCAACTGAAAAACCTGTAGAAGGTTTGCCCGAAACAGAAAAGCCAATTGAACCAGAACGAGAGACAGAGTTACCTGAACAAGGTGAAACTACTACAAAGGCAGTTGTAACCGAGGAGACGTTACCAGAGAAAGTTGTTCCAGTAGAAATAATTCCAGAAGAAAAACCAACTGAACTTCCTGAAGGCGAAAAAGAAGAGACGCATTCTACTGTGTCTCCTACAGAATCTTCTGTTCATGCGGAAGAACCATCGATAACGACACTGAAGCCTACTGAGGAATCTGTAATTTCTGAAGAGAAAACTTCTATACCGGAAAAAACTGGATCAGAAGGTTATCCAGAAGATATAACCGAAGAACCTCAATCTACAGAACACGCACCTGAAGCACCTGTCACGATAAAGACAGAAGAGCATCCGGAAACCGAACAACCAGAAACTTCTTCAGAAATTAGTAAACCATCTGAGAGTCCGATCGGTGATTCTAGCTTGCCATCTGAAGAGAAGGTTACTGTTGCACCACTGTTGCCAGAAGAACACGAACCTCAAATTACAACAACAAGACCTGAAGAAGGCTTATCTACTGAAACACCTTCAGACGAAAACATAAAAATGCAATTTGTACCCACGGAATCACCAATAACAGAAACTACGCATGAAATTCCCACAGAAAGCGAGGGAATTTCTCATCCTGATTTCCCGGAGATTACCATAAAACCAGATATTGAATCTACAGAGAGTGAACTGACACTTGAATCTGATGAAGAACATTTGAGACCGGTCAATCATACCACGGAACAACCTGACTACCATCCTGACTTCCATGAACAATATTCAACTACTTTAGCTCCACATATTTCGGAATATCCAGATCAATCCGAAGACAATGCTCATTTCCCTCCGTCTGGAGGAAGTTACTTGCCAAACCCAGATGAAGAATACGACGAGGATGATCATATTTACGGACCGGGCACTTGCCGTTATGGCGGCAAAGTTTACGTCTCAGCACAGCAGATACCCAGAGATGATCCTTGTGATTTCTGCTTCTGCTTCAGAAGTGACATTATTTGCTTGCAACAGAGCTGTCCGCCACCTATTCCGGGTTGTCACGAAGAACCGATCAGCGGCTTTTGCTGTCCGAGATACGAATGTCCTGTTTCTATGGCCGCGGCTCTTAACTTGACTACCACCACTACCACGACTACAACTACGTTACCACCCCTCTTCCACTCTCATGCTTACAAAGGTGCCGTTAGACGAAGCGGCTGCCAAATAAATGGTCAAGCTTATCGAGTAGGAGAAGTCATTAAATCATCGTCTGGACCATGTCTCCACTGCATGTAAGTTTATTTTATTAACGTTTATTCATAAACACATCTCATTTTGTATGTGTGTGTACTCGTACTCATATTATTTACAAGAAAAATATCTAATTCGAATTATATAAAATTTTAGCTGTGGAGGTGACGGCAATATGAAGTGTGAGCCGCGAGTATGCAGTCCAGAACCGATGCTGAGGCAAATGATCGCCGCGGCTACGGCCAAAAGAAGGAGATGAGCCGCCGACCTAAATCGCGGAATTCATTTCTACAAAGATGAAAGAGTCGACAGCAGGATTTTCAGTGTATAAAAGTGAATTAAAATTATTCTAAACTACCTAAACGTCGCGCGAAACACAGACAATAGTGTGCTTCGGCGATCACGAACTGAGTGGCCAAAACGTAAACGTTTATATTAATAATATTATATTATGTTATATATATATATATATAAAGCAAGAAAGAGAGAGAGATAGAGTGAGAGAGAGAGAAAGTGATGATAAAAGCGCGGGAAACGGGGAAGTTATACCGGTCGAAAAATTGTAGAAAATTAACTGCGTATCAGAGCGCGATATATCGGTGCTAATATGCGAACACGAGGAAGAAACGAAGAAACGAAAGAGTGTAAGCAAAAAAATCTTCGTTCGTGATAAATTCGCGTTCTCTTTTGTGAGATATTTTATACGCTCTAAAAAAAACAAAAAATAGAAAAAAATTGCTGAACGTACGAGACTTATGACTGTGCCTTTGTCAGTGTCGAATATCAGCGGCATTGCTTTCGTTTCGTTAACGAGCGCCGTCCGCAAGCCACGGTCTCATCGTCGATATTAAATACACCCTCAAAGCAGAATTTGAATTTTAGCAAAACAAACTTCGAACCACAACACGAACTAAATTTTATCACGAGCATTTTAATGTTTTGCGATTTAAGCTCTCTCATCAAGAAACGATCCCAGTAAAATTTTTTTTTTAATGGGAAACACGAGTCACATCGTGTAACATTAAATTGCTTGGAATGAAGTTGATCTTTTTTCGGATTTGCTTCGAGATTTGTTTTGCTAATGTGAATTCTGTTGAAAAGTCGCGATCGTGATGGGGAAAACAGAAAGAGAAGAAATACGACGAATGCGTTTCGTACGACGCACAAAAAAAAAATGCCAAAAGCAGAAGAAATTTGTCAGTCGTAATGCCGGCCGATCGATTGCACAGTGATACTGAAAAAGTGGGAGAGAATCGTAGGAAGGATATCTCAGTCTATTAGATCGTTTATACAGATAGAAGTTTTTTAAAACATTTTTCTACGCAAAAACTACGCACATCCGCGATATCTTTCTTACGATGTTACAGCTGAAAGTGAGAAATAAGGGAAAATAAATAAGATTGCGACAACATATCCTTACGCGCGCGGCTCATGTAGTATCACTGCGCAATCTCAAGCGACGACGATATGTCATTACTTGCAATGCGATCGAGCGTGTTCTAGATCGTTTATTCGGCTGCCACGTGTATCCTAACGATTGGATCACATTACTCAAGTTTACTGACGTTTACGCGCACTCGAACACGATCGAGAGATCAGTGTTGATCGGCATAGCCGATCGTGCTTCCAGTTATGCCTAAGCCGCAAAGGATTCCCGAAGGATCCTAGTCGTTTCCTTCCTGCGGAAGAGTTTCCGATCGAGCCATTCTCTTTTTTTTCTTTCTGATCGATCTGCCAAATCGTATATATACAGTGCCAACGATCGTGTCCCAGTGCGCGCGTGTGAGCGTATGTATGTGCGTGTGTGTGCATGTTGCATTATAATATGTTAAAGGATGAAGAAAGGAAGCCAGAGAGACGAAAGATACACGCATCTCAAAGCTCAAACAGCGGCTCGCGCGGAGGACCGATCCGAGAACTTGCTTCTCCGGCGAGCTGGCGTCATTATATATAAATATATAAATATATAAATATAAAATATATATACATTTATATAATTCTTTATATACACTGTACCCTCCTGATGATAATACTTAACGATGTTCTATACATTTGTACGAAAGTATATAGTTGTCATTAAGACGAGATAAACCGCCCACGCCGATTCTCCAGTCTCAAAGTGTTACGTGTAAGAATAGAGGAAGCGATATCACTTTCAGGATCTTTTGAATCTTTACTCTAAAGATCAATTATGTTATATCTTGATAGAGACGCGGTTCACACAATCGTCGTTCAGAAGCAAGAGTTATCGAGCAATTTTATGCTTTGAGACTCCAGAACTCCGCTAGGCTCTTCTTAGTATAATAAATAGAACGAATGCTCTATATATATATATATATATATACATATATATATATACATATATGTATATATATATATATATGTATATATATATATTATATATATCGTCGCACAAAATACTGCGCATACTGTCTGTATTTATAATAACTGGACGAAGACGAGTCGAAGTTCGGTCTTCCTGGTATCAGTGGTCCGTTAGTCCTAGTACTTTTATTAATAATTAAGCTAATATCTGTCCAGGAGAACAGCTCCTCGCGAAGAGGAGAATTATGAACGCGTTTTCTCTTTTGTTTTTGTTCACGTAGTCGTAAAAGATTTTTCGCTCGACTTGAAAGACCAACGAATAACCGCGACATATTCATAGAGCTTCCACGGCAACTCGATCGTGATATATAAAGTGGCCATATTGTTACTGTTTTTCCAGATATGATAACTAAAACCGATCTTCCACGTAACATCTGTAATAAATGATTGACACACACATGTATGAAACGTTTTTTTTGTTTTATGCGGTCATAAATGTTACAATTAAAACACGATGTCTCGTATATCTTTGTCACTTTCAGTCAGACGACCAGTACTTTAATTGTAAAACTTTATTTGAGTAGATCAAAAAAAAAAAAAAAAAAAAAAGAATCGATATCATGAGCTGTTCAATTAGCTGAAACAATACGATCTCGAGCTTGTCTTTTATCGCGAGTTTAGTTTTTTTTTTACAACAAGCGACGAAAGAAAGATGTTTGATACTTTGCTCACTAAAAGAAGTTATGCGATCGATAACGACACATAATTAGATGTGTCGGTGCCGATTCGATCGGCGTCGACGATACGTGCGGTGTGCAATCGGTCACCGCGGCTCGTCGTTAAAAAATCAGAGTCGAGTCAGTTCTTTCCATGCCAATATTGTAGCGATTATAGAACAAAAACTATATATTTATCCTGATATCATCCCCCCATCCCTTCATTCATAGCGTGTAATACTACCGAAGGTAAATAAGTGTCGAGTGTTTACAAATAAGTTTTACGATATTATGGTACGCTATTGTAGTACGCTGTAATAAAACGTAAGATGTACGATCATGTGGTAAATACATAGAAATGCATGTGTAAACTAATGTCAAAGCCGGCGAGAGCGGAGTGCACTTGTGAGACATTACTTTTGTCTCGCGTAACTTTGTAAACACATTATTATATAGATACGCGCATCAAACTTACGCACAAAGCGACCAATTTTTTATCCATTGATGTCAATTGCCTTCGTATAATCGCTACGGAAATATATTCTCATTCTGCAGTTTCGACATATTCGTGATATTTTTCGGCATCGAATATCGAGGAGACGTACGGAAAATTTGAGAGATTTGAATTTTCACGCGTGTGCGCGTAACGCAGCAAGAATATGGCGCTTAGTATATATATATATATATATATATACATATATATATATATATACATATATGTAATACTCAATCCTCGCGATGGATAATCCCGGGCGTTTCAAACTCGTCATACGTGAGTACGATTGCAATAACTATACGACGCCCTTATTTCGCATTGTATGAATATAATTTGATATATCGTTCGTCGCGTATTATAATATGTGATAAATGGAATAAACGAGAGCGCGCGAGCGTCCGGGACGAGAGCGTCCCGGCGGTGCCGACTGTATGGAAGTAGGATAGGTTTGACAGTACGTGCTAGTATAAAGTGTCCTTTTATATGAATAAAAGATTTTGTATGTCAATCTGTACATCTGCGTACTTTTCATGTCCTTTTACACTCACACACACATATTTATACATATTATATATATTATATAAATATATATATAAATATACACATATATATCATATGTATATACTACCCTTATTTATTCCTGACGCAAAACAATTTTGTAGAAAGATATACAATAACATAATTAATAGGTAGATATATGTACAGATTATTAGAGTAAATTGTGTGTGTAAATCGTTATGCTAAACATTGAATAAATTCGTACTTACATGTTCTGTATAACTCGAATCTTGAAAAACTCCATCAGTTTTCTTTTATTGTTACAAAAACATCTACGGGCTTCCTCAAATTAGACTTAGAAGAAGAATTAAAAAATAAAAAAAGTAATTATTTTACTCACATCTATCGATATCGCGACAGGCGATAATTTATAAAAGATCACGCGGTTCGTTCCCGGTATTTTCCACGTTCCGTTTCCACAGTTCCCGTATTTCATTCTTCTATCACGTGCAGGTTACATTTCCAACAGGCAATGTTGGCAACACGTGTTTTGACTCTGTCAAAGTAGCAGTTTTCGGTATTACCGTGATACAGGAGTATCGTGTGTTTCTTGATTTTCGAACAAATTACGCGAAAGAATTGTTGTCAATGAGCGATGGAAGCCGGAGCGAGTACAGGAACTCGTACGACGCGTTTTATGATGGAAGGCGTTGGCGCTCGAGTAATCCGCGGGCCCGAATGGAAATGGGGAAAACAGGTTAGAGCGAGAGGTTAACCGCAATAAATTTAACATTTTCTCGACAATACAATATTTTTTTCCTATGAAATTGTTTGCAACAAGTACGTTTGCACTTCCCAATTCTCGCAACAACATGTAAATTTTTTTTTTCTGATTAAATGATTCCAAAAATAAACGATTTAGCTTGCTATAAGGTTATTCTAACATTGTTTATTTTACATGGTATTTGTTATTTAACTCGACAAAGTAGGCAATTGCGCGCGTATTGTTTTTATTTCACTACATTGTATAATGTACCTGGATTTTAAACTAAAAAATATAATTGTGTGTATGCAATGATATAATACTTGTTTTTTTTTTTATTTGACTAATAAACCGTAATAATATAGCCATATTGTTGACAAACTTCGTTGTATTAGTAACAGAAATGTGAGGATTGTAATGAATACTTTAATAATCATTTGCAATTGTGTGTATTTGAAAGGATGGTGGAGAAGGTCATGTGGGAACTGTCAGAAACTTTGAATCACCGGAGGAGGTTGTTGTCGTGTGGGATAATGGCACAGCTGCGAACTATCGATGTGCTGGATCTTTTGATCTTCGTATATTAGACTCTGCTCCAACAGGAGTAAAACACGATGGAACAATGTGCGATACCTGTCGCCAACAACCTATTTTTGGAATAAGATGGAAGTGCGCTGAATGTGGCAATTACGATCTCTGCTCCATTTGCTATCACGGAGATAAACATCACTTGCGACATCGATTCTTTCGTATTGCGACACCAGGAAGTGAAAGGGTTTTATTAGAGCCTCGACGAAAGAGCAAAAAGGTATGGATATAAATTCTTAATGTTTTGCTACTTGAACATTACATGTGTGTGTGTGTGTGTGTGTGATTTGATATTTAATAATTTGATGTAGATTGCAATTCGTGGCATATTCCCTGGTGCAAGAGTGGTACGAGGTGTTGACTGGCAATGGGAAGATCAAGATGGAGGTAACGGCCGCCGAGGAAAGGTTAATGAAATTCAGGACTGGTCTGCAGCTAGTCCACGTTCAGCAGCGTATGTTATCTGGGATAATGGTGCAAAAAACTTGTACAGAGTTGGCTTTGAAGGCATGGTTAGTGATATATGTGATTATTATGATTATTGACTATCTTACTTTTATGAAAATTATGTATAATAATATTCTTTTTATATTTAGGCGGACTTGAAAGTAGTTAATGATGCAAAAGGACAAACAGTGTACAGAGAGCATTTACCACTACTAGGTGAGCAGGGTCCGGGTCGAACAGGACCTCATCTGCAAATTGGCGATCAGGTAAGTAGTTTATTTTCTATTTATAAATGTCACATCAAACAATGCAGAATTGTAAATTTTTCTTTTCCCATATTTAGGTCAATGTCGATTTAGAATTAGAAATTGTTCAATCGTTACAACACGGTCATGGAGGTTGGACAGACGGCATGTTTGAATGTCTCGGTACAACGGGAACAGTCGTCGGTATTGATGAGGATCATGATATTGTCGTATCTTATCCGAGCGGCAATAGGTGGACTTTTAATCCCGCTGTGCTAACTAAAGTTCAGATACCCGTTCCTGTTACTAGCTCAAGCTCTGACAATCAGACGTTTGCTGTTGGAGATTTGGTTCAGATATGTAATGATATTGAAAAAATTAAATTGCTCCAGCGTGGTCACGGAGAATGGGCCGAAGCTATGGCTCCGGTAAGTAATTTTAATAAAGCGAACTATGTCATTCCAGCTGCTTCTATGTTCATAGCTATATATAATTTTTCTAGACTTTGGGAAAAATAGGCAGAGTACAACAAATATATCACGATGGAGACTTAAAAGTGGAAGTCTGTAGTACATCATGGACGTATAATCCTCAAGCTGTTACAAAAGTAGCTAGCAACGACGGAAGTCTTCCAGGACATAGTAGTGGTGGTAAGTGTAAAATGAGTAAGAATTAATTGTATAAAGAAGTAGTCGTACACTTTTCTTTTATGTCGCTACTTTTACATGATTTTTCAGAACGATTATCAGCGTTATTAAAGAAATTATTCGAAACGCACGTCTCCGGTGACGTAAACGAAGAATTAGTAAAAACCGCCGCGAATGGCGATGCTGCTAAGTGCGAAGAGTGTTTAAAACGACCGGAAGCCGATGTTAATGGTGTATTTGCTGGACACACTGCTTTACAAGCCGCAAGTCAAAACGGCCACTTGGAAGTTATCAAAATACTACTCCGATACAAAGCAGATGTTGAAATAGAAGTAAGTGTTGTTCATAATCACGCGCAAATATCATGCACATATACATACTCGATTTGTTTGCTTATCGTACGCTGTTTTTGGGAAATAGGATAAAGATGGTGATAGAGCTGTACATCATGCCGCTTTTGGTGACGAGCCAGGAGTTATGGCACTTCTGGCTGGTGCCGGCGCCGATCTGAACGCACGAAATAAAAGACGTCAAACTGCTCTTCACATCGCGGTTAACAAAGGACACGCTGGTGTTGTGCGAACTTTGCTGGAGTTAGGATGTCATCCGAGTCTTCAGGTAAGTACATAATATAATTTTTATTAGTAGTACCGTCACAAATGGCCTAGCTCCTCGTAGACTTGATTTACATAAATTTTCTTACATACTCACTCTTTCGCAAAAGCGATACTAATATTTTCAGCATTTGTTTTCAGAATTCTTAATATATACATGTTAAATGTTTACATATTATTCAAATTGCAAAACATATTACATAATATTGAACGTATCTTATATGTATGTGCATAGAGTGTTTTTCAATTATTATTTAAAACGCTGCGAAGAGTGTTATCTCCCTTCTATAACGAACTTTTTACGCGAATTATAATATTGAATAGTATTATAACAAAAGAAAATTTCTTCTTTGCGCGCGGACGAGGAACAGAGTTCGTCTGCTCGGAAAGGGGGAGCGGCCATTGCGGCGCTTGCTAAAACCACAGAATTATCTTATTATGGTAGAGAATGGCTGCAAAGACTAAGAGAGTCTATATAATACAAAGTCACTAGTATAAGTAAAATATCAAAGAATATCAAATAATGAAAAGATAATGGGACGAAAGACAGTATGTACATGGTCGTGCTACCGCGCGAGTATGTGTGTAAAGAGCACCACTACTATTACTAATTACAAGAAAGAAAAGCGTTAAATGCGTTGAGTCTTCACATATTTAATGATGATGAAAACAATAAAAGTTCTCTTATCTTATTGAAAAGTCTTTGGTACGTATCGTGTTACGTATGTGTGCCAAGCAGCGGTGTATTAAGTTTTTATTAGTAACTGTGCGATCTCGGGGATTATGTGTACACGAAGTTATACATATATTGGTATATTCCCCCCTTGCAGATTAAACAATATTTCTGTTTATACAGTCGAAGTAAATCAACGACTTAGAAAACCGCGGGTTTATTGTAGGAGATTGTGCCGGAATGAAATCTCGTGAAATATAACCATAGGCGGAGGTTTCGGTGGCGGGCCACAAGGGAGGATAAACAGAACAGGGTGGAGGGGGATTGTTTATTTTATTCTTGAACTGTCTAAACGTGATATATTTGTGGTATTCCACCCTCCAATGATTTATGCCGGTCTGAAACTGCGTAAACGAACACTTCTCCCGCTAGTTCTCCCCTTCTCCTACCTCTTTTTAATCTTATGCTTCGTTTTCCTTCTCTCATTCCGTTTCTAACACCGCGCGCAGCGCTCTTTCCTGGATACAACCTGATAGTAGAGATAGTAGCGCTTACAGTCGTTTAATCTGTATAACTAGTTAACTTTTCTATTTCACTAAATCTACTAAAGTCCCATCTCACCTCGCACAGAAATTCTATTAAGTTTCTCGAAAGTGTTTAATCCGCGAAAGGTTATTCGCTGAATAAAAAAAAAGAAAAAAAAAAGAGAGAAAAAGAGAAAAATATCTACATGAGATAATCTGTAAAATAGATACGTGCTATGGATATTGATTATGGATTTGCAAGTTTGTGTAACACGTGATATGCGATAGTCGTAGAGAAGTACATATTTCTTTTTTTCTCACTCTTCTTCTCTCTCTTTCTCTTTCTATCTTCTTTTTCTCTCACGGAAGTGCTTTTCATAAAATCAAATGTGCAACGGCGCCGTGGCTTATCTTGCGGAGTAAAGAAAATAAATTTTAGTTTCTTCTCTCTCTTTTTCTCTTTGAGACGTAGAGAAGATAAAATAAAAGCAAAAAATGGAAAACGAAGAGTGAAAGAGAGATAAAAAGAAAGAGAAAAGAAGGAGATATAGGTATAAAGAAAATGAAAAGGTATGATGTATCGGGGCGTATACATTATTCTTTTTGTCTTGATATTTGAGAAACAGAGGGTTGGTGGGATGTAACCGTACGCAACTGTATTTTATTACACGTATACTGATAGTACTCGATGGGAATACTTGTGAATTTTCTTCACGTTAAACAGTCAAACTATACTTTTTTAATGCTATGACCATGTACTTTTTCAATGCACGTCTTCCGAGCCAAGTTTAATCTGTTTTACGTAGATACGTCGTATGTTCATTGTGTATAACGTGTAAACATAATTCGCACATCGACAATTTCTCATTCCTTTTTAATACTAATGCAGTATATTTGCGCGCGAGCACTTGATACACACGAATGTGAATTAGTGTTAATTCACCTTTGTTACACGGGTATCTCCTCATTTGCAGGAGACTTAATTAATTCAGTTATCTGCCTCGAGGAAGCCTCGAATTCCACCTGCGTTACGAGTGTCGCGGGATTGTGTTTGAGAATACGTGTTGCGCATAATCAAGACGCGCTGTGTACATTTGGTGCTCCGGCAATGGGGTAGAACACTACGGATCCCCCGCTATTTCCCTTCGAAGCAGTTCTGAGGCTGAAGACAGCCAGAAACATTTTCCGCGATAAATAACATTTCCATCGCTCGGCGCACGTAACTTGTTGATAACTTGTTGTTTTCTTTTTCTCTTCACATATAAATTTACATAGAAACTTGCTACACTCTGAAGCGCTCTGACGTTTTCTGTCTACTTGACGACTTTTAAGGCGCACGTGTTCGCTTCGTCCAATTTTGCGCGAAGCATCAGTCTCTGTTTATAAGAAACGGTTTATCAAAAATTTAGGAATTTGTTGCACGTGCATGTAAGCGATCGTAGTGTAAATTATCGCAAAAGCTTTTTCCTCTCATAACGCTCTCGCCAGCGGCTTAGAGAAGTAATTAAGAAAGTTAGGCGATACCCTTCCTCATTTTCATAATCACCGCACAAAATGGTATAAATTAACAGTAAACGTAAATCAACGATGTTTTTACGCGGTGCAGGGTGTATTGCAACCGTCGTGAAATACCGTCTGTATATATTTCATCAGGCCGGGCGTATAAGGTTTCGCGAAAATATGCTTGCATTTAGAGCACGCAGAATTACGGTTCACGTCTGTTTCTTCTCAACTATGCTCTCATTCCGCAGCCAGCATTTGCATAATTGCACTTTTTAAGCGGCAGGGAACTCTTTAATGAGAAATTACCATCGAAGTATTCGCGTTTTGTCGAAACTTTTAGATTTCCTTTGGGAAGCTTTATTATTTTTTACCAGTTTCTATCGAGTCTTTATTGCGCCGGTTGAAATTGTCGAACTTGTAATCGTTGTAGCTATTGTTCTTGTTCGACGTTATTGCGAAAATTTTTGTTTCCGCGCGGCAAAAAAAAAAAAAAAAAAAAAAAAAANCGTTTTGTCGAAACTTTTAGATTTCCTTTGGGAAGCTTTATTATTTTTTACCAGTTTCTATCGAGTCTTTATTGCGCCGGTTGAAATTGTCGAACCAGTATTCGAAGTAGATGATATTCTTGTGCGGAGAAATCGTGTAAATTTATGGTTCCACGAGCAAAAAAAAAAAAAAAAAAAAAAAGAAGGAAGCGTCGTCGTTCCTTGTCTTGTTTTATTCCATCGGGAAAGTTTTTGAAAGAAAGTCTGTTTTCTCGCGCGTTGCGCGCATTGAATGTACTTTTCGCGAAGGAATAAAATTTCAACGATCACGTACGTGTGTGCCAGACAAGAAAGGCAGACTCTCGCGCCTGGCACGTGCGTGAAATTCCGACAAGTCGATCCCGACAATACCTTCGAGGTCTGCGGGGAGGAGTTGAAGGGGCGAGGGGAATTTTTGCGATCGCGCTATCATCCTGTCTGCTTCGTTGAAGGATCGTACTAATCGAAATACCGGACGTCTTTGGCGCTGTTACGTGTGTGGATGCTTCTCGCGTGTGTAGCGCAGCTCTTCGTTGCTGCCGTTAAAATTGAGCCAGTCATTCTTACAGCTTTCCACCACGTTCATTTCGAAAATGCCGGAGGAAAAATATCCGAGAGAAAGAGAGAAAGAGACCGCCGCCGTGTAAAGCTTTTTTGTTACCGATGTTGATTGCTTTCGATGTCTTTTCTCTTTTTCAAAATGGCCGCCAGAAAAGCAATAATATAATTGTGAACATTTGAGCAAGATAGTAATGTTTTTTTCCCAACGCGTTGAATCCCAACGGCACAACAATCCGATTTTTTGTGTATCACGACGACAAGAAGTTGATTGTGCACATTGTGCAGTCGTTGGTCGCGGCACGTGTCGCGTGAGTTTCAGTCAATGAGGATTAATTGCTTTGGAGAAATAGCGTCCTCTCGTGACCCTGCGGAAACCCTCTCTGACACGACATTCCAGTCGAAACCACTCCATTTTACGAGCACGGTCATTTACCGAGAGACAACATCGTGTACACACGTCATAATCGAGGCTGATTGTGTTTATTACACGACTAATACTGTCGAATAAATGCCGTCGCGACTCGGGCGCGTATATATCTGTAGTTCGCGAGGCGTGTTACGCGATTCATTGATGATTGAATGCGATCATTCCTTTCGAACCGCGTAGATAATTACGCGCGACTTGACAGAAAGACTCTTTCGCGATGACGCGGTTTCCTCTCTTCGCATTCATTTCCTCCCCAAAAAAAAGTCTCTTCGGGCATAATGAGGCATAAAGGAATAAAAGTCTCTTGAGATATAATGAGGCATGAGAGGGATAAAAAAGAGATGCGCGAGCGCGCGAGATATATTCGGCGGCTCTGTACTCCGTCGTGCGAATAATGCATTCAATCGAATCGCGCGCGACAGTCGATGCCGGGCGTCTTCTATGAGGAAAAGTGGTTCGTTTCGCAGCGTAGAACGCGACGGGAGGAAAAAGGGGAATGTCGCCGGGTGGAGGAAGGTTCCGTATATGGCGTCTATTACAAATCCAATACCCACCTCTAGTCTGGTACACCTCCTCTAGCCTTTGCTCTCTGTTTTTTTTCCTCTTTTCGATTCCCCCGCCTATGGTAGTCGTCGCATCCTGGCTGCGACGCTACTATAAAACATATTCGCTGACAGCGACAATATTCCCCTCGGCACACTGCAGACTCGACAGAAGTAACGCTCTCGGGCCACACATTCGCGCAGAAAAAACGCTTACTCGCGCGAGAGATCACATTTGATCGCTCCGCGC